CTGGAACGTACCAGGGATAAACCAAGAAGTCTTGATGCTATACTTGTCAAAAAGCTTTAATAAGCGAAGGGACCCAACTTCTCCTGCAAACATTCCCTATGTGGCGAAGCAAATTGAAACATTAGGCAAAATTAGCTTATCCCGGGCATCGAAAAGTACCCTCGAAATCTCAAGGGGCGAGTCTTCTCCTCCATAAGATCCTAACCTGAGGAATTCTAAGTGTTTTATAGATGTTTATGGAATAAGTTAGGCATATTACCATCCAGCCACAGCATCAACGTCGACCCCGAAGCTAACGAGAACACGTTTGGCAGGCATACAAGTACGAGCACAGTTCACCGTGAGTGAGACGCAGAAGTTCACGCGAGCGTTGGGGCCTGAATATATGAGGTTTTCTGATGATGGTCATAGGTCGAAACCTATATGGTTATACTTCTCTCAGAACCTTCAGTCGAACATAGGATTCTGTCAATTCTGTCTGACATCTGAATCAATCAAGGCACGAGACGAGATTGATAGGTCAATGACAGAATAGAACATTGCTTGTCCTAACTCATTTTGAGTCTCGGAGGTCTGCTGGCCGAGCACAACAAGGCGTTCCATAGCAGAGGCATCCGAACAATGAAACTGAGCAACCATAGAGCCAGATACCAGGCATAGTAAGCAGTAAATTTCCAACGTTTAATTACAGCAGCCTCTCGTCAATCAAACTTAAACACTGTTGGGACCAGAACCTGTTTCTGGAGGGAAAAGGATCAAAGAGACCTGTTCACGTTGGAAATGGAATGACATATCTCTTCTTACTTTTTCCCAAGGAAGAACCACTGGGTGTCAGCAGTGCTCGGCGTGACTCGGAAGTGTGAGAATGAGCACTGACGTGAAACGCACCACCAAGTAGGCTGAACAGGAGCTTAGTCAACGTCTAAAAATAGTATCGTGATTGGACACGTCGACAACTGAATTGGACACGTCTCGACACCACGGTCGTTTGTCGTTCGCCACAGTTACGCATCCGTTGTGCAGAGGAGTACACCAACTCACTTATAACCGGCCATGCCTGTGGCCTATACACTCTCTACAGATCTTTCTCCCACCACAGTCGCAAATACTGCCTCGCTCATTCGCATTGTTGCTCTTGCTCTCATCTCTGGTGCGGCTATTGCTTCACGATTGTTTGCCGTCATAAATTTTGAGAGTATCATCCATGAGTTGTGCGTCTCATAACGGCCTGCTGATCATGTTATCCTTTTGACACAACTTCTTCCCTCAAGTGACCCATGGTTTAATTAGTGAGTGGCTTGGCATGTCTGTTTATAGCGTGGTGTTGAATTGTCGGGGGAAACAAGTCGCGCTACGAGAGTGTTAGCTTCAAAAGGGTTTTATGTGTGTTACCAACTCTTTGTTGAAAGGATACATTGACATTTTCACTTCGATCAGGAATTTTGGAATTGGTTTGACCCTACAGCATGGTATCCTTTAGGACGAGTCGTTGGTGGAACTGTCTATCCTGGTCTAATGGCTACCAGTGGTGTCATTTATAATCTACTCCATGCGGTCAACCTTCCCGTCGACATCAGGAACATCTGCGTTCTTCTCGCTCCCGGATTCAGCGCCCTCACAGCATGGGCAACGTACCAGTACGTCTGTTCTTCGTCGTTTCAGGATAAGTTTGTCAAGTGTATCCTAGATTCACGAAGGAAATGAAAGATGCCAGTGCCGGCCTTCTTGCTGCAGCGTTCATTGGCATCGTACCCGGGTACATCTCGCGTTCCGTTGCTGGCTCTTATGACAACGAGGCCATTGCCATCTTTCTCCTAATGTTTACTTTCTACCTTTGGATCAGAGCTCTCAAACAAGG